ATCGTCCCCAAAGGCACTTGACTTTGTAACTCCTGCAGGGGCTAAAGGGGAAAAGAAAAGATTTGAAGGCAGAAAACCGGGTTCAAACCCTAGACCCTTCCTCCCCTTAGCTATTTGTGGCTGGAGAGATGTTGCTGAACCCAGAGGCCTTGGCTTCTGCTGTTCTGAGGACTAAATGAGTTGGTGGATGTGGAAGCGCTTTGTTAGCCACAGAGACTGTGTCAATGCGAGTGATTATGATTATGACGCAGGAGCCAAGGACTGGAGCTCAGCCACCTGCCCTTGGTTTTGCTGCTTCTTAAGCCTCAAATTAAATTAATCCAGTAGAATTCAGGACACATGGGGTGGAGGGAGGAAGGGTGGGACATATGTTCATATTAGATGTTACTAAGAACAAATAATTAGCAAGGATAGTGGTGCAGTTAAGTTCTTTGTAAACAAACAAGGAGATGGGGGCCCGCTCCCTAGCACACATAATGGGTCTCCATCAGTCACAGAAACACCCAAGGGAGGAGTCAGGTGGGAGGCAATGTGCAAAGTGTTGGAGCACAAAAAGAACCACCTACCCACTCGGGGAAGTCTAAAGAAGGAAAGAATTACTATATGGAAAATCATTGCTTTATAGAGGGAGAGGGGGAAGGCTCCAATTGCAAAATCAAGAGAGTTCTGATTAAAGGGAAAATAAAGATTGAAGAAAAGACAGCTAAGAATAACTTTCCAACATCCAGAGGCCCGAGAGATCCAGATGGACAGTCCCTCCAGCTGCATCCTCTTCAGACCAGCCCCCAGCATCTCATCAGACGCCTGCTGAGAAGATTTAATTTTCCATTGGAAAAAAGAAATCCTGGTTGCCACCCCTCCTCCATCACATCAGCTCAGCCTGCTTCAGGCTTTTACTGCTTCAATGGCAGGGCTTGCTGGAGTCCTTCTGTCTAAAACCCAGCAGGTCAAGTGCAGAGTGCAGAATATTTCTCAGAAGGCTGCGAGGAGCCTCCTGAGACAACAGATAATGTTCTGTCCAGGTTTCTTCATTCATTCCTTATATAGCAAATAAGGATTGAGCAATACTGACTCAAAAGTAGAATCCTCGTAGTCCGTGCAAGAAACTCCCGGGTGCAATTCTCAGTTAGTGCATCCCACGCACAACCACCACCCGTGTCGGAGCATGTTGCTATATAGATAAACAGGTTTCAGAAAAGTTTCCAGACTAAGATGAACTAGATGGTACAGGTTGGCCGTCTACTTCCAAAAATTAGCCACTGTAACCCGGATGATCAAAATAGTCTAATCTCACACAAATTATGAGGGTGGTGCGGGACTGAGCAGCATTTCATCCTTTTGCATGTGAAGTTGCCAGGGTTCAACAAGGTCTGACTCAATGACAGCTAAGAGCAACAAGTACATGTCACGACCTGTTCCAGGATCAAAGGATCCAGTCCTACACCCCTCTTTGCCATCAAGCCATTTCCAACTCATTGCAACCCATCAGGACAGAGTAGAACTGCCCCAGAGAATTTCCAATCGTTATGGAAGCAAATAGGTACATATTCTTCTCACAGAGCAATGGGTAGGCCCAAACCCACAACTGTTCAGGCAGCAGCCAAACACTTAATCACAGCACCAGAAGGACTTCTGGATTCCAGTAGGGTAGATAATAAACAAACAAGGGTAAACCCATTCATTTAGGCGGAGGAGAGGAAGACCTTCGATGAGATGGAACGGTTCTGTGACTGGAGTGGTGGGAATAAGTGAGTTTGAGATGGCTAGGTTGGCACAGGATAGAATGGCATTTAGAGCTCTTGTACATAGGATCGCTATGAGTCACAAGCCACCTGATGGCACATAACAACAACAACAACAACATTCTTTTACTGAGAAGGCCACTCTTTAGGTTTAGTCTTCCCATCCCAAAATGGGATGATAACACAAATGGCCAACAAGCACATGAAAAAATTATTAAGATTGTTAATCATCCCAAAACCAAAACAAACCCACTGCCATGACTTGGAAAGAGTGTGTGGGGAAAAGGAAACCCTCACGCATTACTATTAAGAGTGTAAATGGGTACAGTCAACTGTGAAAAACATTTTAGTGGTTTCTCAAGAAGTTAAACAGAATTGCCATGTGACTGGGCAATTCCATCCTTAAGGATACACTTAAAGAACTGCAAAGTAGGGGCTCGATTAGTGTTTGGATATTAATAACAGCCTAATTGTTAGCAACTGCCAAAAGTTGGAAACAACCCAAGTGTTCATTAACAGGTCAGTAGATAAACAATATGTGAAAGCAGCTATGAGATATCATCTCACCCCAGCAACAATAACAAAGTTCAACAGAGCAGCAAACAATAAATGTTGACGAGGTTGTGAAGAGATTGGAACCCTTATTCACTACTGGTAGGAGTGTAAAATGGTGCACTATGGAAGGTGGTTTGGTGCTTTCTCAAAAAGTTGGAAATAGAAATACCATTTGATCCAGCAATGCTACGACTGAGAATATACCCTAAAAAAAACAGACCCACCATCCAGACAAATATATTCACACTCATGTTTGTTGCTGTGTTATTTATAATAGCAAAGAGTTGGGAGCAACCCAAGTACTTATCAACAAATGAATAGATAGAAAAACTATGGTATATTCATACAACGGAATACTACAGCAGCACTGAAAAACAATGAACTCAGAAAACATTACATACATGGGTGACCCTGGAGGACATTATGCTGAGTAAAATATCTCAGTCACAAAAGGACAAATACTGCTTAGCACCTCTGTTATAAAGCTGGTCTGACATGGGGAGTTGGGAGGAGAACAGGAAAAGAATGGGTAGACAATGAACATTGTAATGGAACAGATGAAGGAAAGAACTGTTTAAAATAAACATACGATTAGGCATTATCTGTACAACAATAGTCAGGAATAAGAGGTACACTCAAAAAAGGATAATTGGGGATAATTGTGCAACAGCGAACGAATATTTTCTTTTAAAAAAGTGAACTGGGGGAGGGGGAAGAGAGTGAGAAAGGGTAAGATGTTCAACAATGAATGAATGAAAATCTTATTTCCTGTAAACGTGTTAATATCACAATTAAAATATAAAATTTTATTTTAAAAAATTGTATGTGGTATATCCATACAATGAAATATATTTCAGCCATAAGGAAAAAAGAAAGAAATTCTAATGCACATAATTACACGGATAAGCCTTGAAAACAGTATGTTATTATGGTGTACCGTAGAATCAGAACTGACCCATAGCTGACCCACCAGTGGGTTTTCAGAGGCAGTTAGTCGCATGGAAGGAGACTGGCCATCCTTCTCCCATGGAGCAGCTGGTGGCCTCAAACTGCATGCCTTTTGGAGCGCAGCTTCCTGCCACTATGCTAAATGAAAAAAATCTAGACATTAAAGGAGAGCTATCACATGATCCCACTTAATAGAAACTAGAATAACTAAAGGTTGCATGACCCAGTGACAATGTGGTCTATTTTCATTTTTTCAGATTTAAAGCACAACCTAAAGTAAAATATGCAAATGGCACATAAACTCAATATTCTTATCTCCTTTCCCATAGTAGGGAATTTATGCCTGGCAAGATTAGAATTTTCATCATGAAATATCATAATCTTCATTATTACTCCAAAGAATTTCGTTTCAACCATCTACTTACAGGATCTGATTTTATAATTTACTAAATGCTTTGGTATCATATTTTGTGTTCTGCTTTTTGTAGTTTTAAATTCACAATAAAAAACCAACTTGTTTGGTTTCTTATTGAACAATATTTTTATTTAGTGCCTAACCAAATGTTTGATCCTTGGTAGGGTCAACACAATCCATGTCCTCAGTAAAGTCACAATCATTGAACACACATTTTAGTATTGATATCCACTCATCAAGAAAGTCAAACCCCTTCATGGGTACAGTGAGACTTCAAAAAGAGAAGCTAGTGAGGAGAAAGGAGTTGAGCCTTACAAACTAGGCTCCCCCACAACCCCATGCCACCTTATGGTCCCTGCTCTTCGAAGACACAAAAACATACATAAAGCAAAGGATGATCAGTAGGAAAAATAGCAATCAGTTTCTATCTTCCTGAAGTAGAAAGTAATATTTCATGTTTGACCATCTAAAGAAGTGATTTCATAGTTCCATAGTTCCATGATTCCATTGCTACAACAGATTCTCCAGAGTTATTTATTCCTTCCCTCCTAGGTTGCAGGAGAAATAGTTAGGGCTTATGGCAACTGAGGCAAAAAATCATGTCAACAGCTGCCTTGCTGGATTTCACAGAGAACAGAAGCTTCATATGGTGTGGTGTAGTGAGTCTATTGTTCAAAACAGCTTCCTAAGCCATGGCCCTTGACTTTGCCACATAGCTGGGCAGAAGAAACATTCTAACAGGGTGTGTTAAACTAGCCACAAGTTGATTAGCCAGTTTCACAATTTCACCAGGTTTAAATTGAGCAGATTCAGTGGCAAAAATTTTATAATCTTATCACCAGCAATGAAGAAGAAGTAGAGAGTGCAACATAGATTTTTTTGATGCCAGAGATTTCTGTTCCAGTCAGACTGAAGCCTATAGAGCATGAACTGTCACAGCAGGGAACCGGAGACCAACATGAGACAGAGCAGACCTGGGACTGCTTCCCCAGGAGTCAGAGCCTTTGCCCAAACTTGCTAAAGGACTTGAGATGTTGAGGGGAGAAGTCCTAATTAGCAGGACTAAGAGAACTTTTTTTTTTGTATTAAAAAAGGAATTTATTTATCGAGGGCAATAGAATGCAAACAATATGAAAATCAAAAGCTTATGTGGCATCTCACTGACTTTTCTTACTCTGCTTGTCAAATGGGGGTTGGATTTTATTTGTACATATTCAAAGGACCTCAATCTGCTCATGCATGTAATCCTTGAACAGGGGGAAGTTGGGGGGCGGATTCCTTAAGCGACTCTGGGATACCTCTGGACAGGATAGGAGTGTTTTCTTCAAAGCTGCCCATGTCTACTTCCGTCCCTTCTGCTTCATATGTACTACAAAATAGTCGTTGCATGCGATGGTGAGGCCAGCCATCAGAGAAAAGAAGCTCTGGAAGCCCACTTTGCCGTCTCGGCAGTGGTCCAAGTCCTTCATTATTTTGTCCACAGCCAGAGGGTCTTTTTGGTTTTCCAAAAACCTAGGGAATTCCTTCCCTATGAGCACTTTCAGGTTGTCCTTGGTTAAGCAGCATTTATCTCCAGCAAATTTGTGAAACGTGAACATCATCGTCTCCATGGCATGTTCCATCTGAGATGGCATTTTGGCGAGGTTTTAGCAGGGTGGGGCGGCGCACACTCCGGCAGCAGGACGCAGTCTCCAAGCGAACGGGAAGCCGGGCGGTTAATGAGGCTGGCATTGGGGTGGGGGTAAGACTGAGAAAAACTGGATGAAATATGTTTGCGGCATTGAAGTCTATGGGGGAGAGAATAGTCTAAAA